TCTGGAGACTAGTTCAGCTATAGTACTACATGCAAATACACAACCATACAATAGGATGGGATAAATCGACAGTTTTAAAACCTAGTTTAACAGGGTGGAGGGAGAAACTGAAAAATTAATCTGTATTTATCCAATTAATTGAAGAGAATGAGTACAGCAGGAATGATTCAGTACCTGTCACAGATATCTGGAAAATCCTACTACCCGTACGACAAACAGGAGAGAACGAAGACAACTATAAAACTCAAGTTTTGAAGTAGTTGAAATATGAATGATATGATTAAGAACAGTAAATTTTGTCCGAAACGCCATCTAGTAAATACTACTGTTTCACTGTCTGATATGTCTAATAAACAAACTAATATGCATTAATTCAGCTTCACAAATTACAATGGACCGTAGTAGAGCGACGCATTGAAGAATTCCAGAAGAAGTGGTAGTTAAAAGTATATTAAACATTTCATTAATTTACAAAGAAAATTCTGATGAAGGGTATTCGCGTTAGTTTGACCGATTGACATTTTCGACAACTTCCATATACCTAAAAAATAAATCATTTGAAAGGACTAGCACAACATGAAGTAATAAAATCTAATTTTATATATTAGTATGCAAAGTGAATTATTGGTCCTATTAATAATAGATGAAATTCTCATGCAAATAAAGGTATTTGTAGTTTACAGCTGGTTTTATATTGACGCCGTATGCATAAGTAAACATCATAGGTTTTCCAATGTTAGAGGATTACACACAAATTTCAAAACGAACTCCAAAACATCCATCCTGTTGAGGCGTCATTCTCTCATCAACATTACTTGCAGATCAACGTCACACTAAATACGTCTACATTAAAGGAAGTATTGCAAGTGCGTAACTTAGAAATTAATCCACAACCTCAGTAATATCTACTGAACATGGTTTTGTGAATGCTACAGAAGTTGCATTCTCATATTCATGAAACTGTAGCCATCAAATATAGGATGAACATGCCTCAACTCTAAAAAGCTATTCACACTGTTAACAGCATAGAGAAATACTTAAAATATTGTAAGATACACAGACCAGTTGTGCTGATGAGGATAGCGATACTATATAATGCAACCTAGATATTAAATTGTGATATCGCATCTGCATTGCTTTATGTAAATGGAAATTTCAGAAATTCATCTCCACTATTGGTGATCAAAAATATTGCAGCATTGGGTAAACAGTGTCAGTGGAAATGGCATAACCCACAATAGATTGATAATAATAGAGCTAACTAGATTCAGTTCTCATAATGAACACAGTCCGTGCGTATAATAATATTGTACACTGAATTAATGCACTAAGTGAAACAGTGAGGAGAACTAAACGGCTAATTGCCTTCTTCACTGCACTGCACTTGCAGCGATCATGAGAACCACTTACATTCGTTAGCTTAGCAGTCAGCTAAGCAGACAATGGCACAATATTAATAGAGATACTTTTATATATTTTCATTTTTAATGGATGAAATCGTAAATGACACATCAAAGAAGCCATATGATGAATCAGACAAGAGGCTGAATTTTTCGCTGATTGTGTCCCTCTGATGAAGTACATGGTTGGAATTGTCCAGTCGAAGATGTTGTACTAGTGGAATTTACTTTGTCGCATGGAAGACATCTACTGCATCGAATGGCATCAGCTTATCTTCGTATCGGTATGCTTTGGGACAAGAAGAATACTACGCATGGTCTTTCTGTAATCTGACACTGCCTACAGTTTGTGTTAACTTTCAGTCGAAAAGTAGCTTGTGGCCGCGTACTACCACTAGTACACCTGTAGTGTTAGTTATATCCGTCCTAATAATCATTCATTTTCAGATCACGAAGGTATTCTCAGCTGCTTTAGGAAATATTTGGGGCCATGAAGTCATAGAAGTTGCTCTTCTGACTCATATTTTTTAACCATTTATCACCAAGCAGCCTATCCACAGATACTTTATGATGTCCAGGTTAAAATGCTCAAGCACCTGCATTTGCTATATGTTACTATCCGGGAAGGGACAGTTGACGAAAGTGAGGACGAAATCAAGCTTCCTGTCAAATAAATAGGAATACTGCAAACTGTTGACAAGAAACATCGTCATAGGAAATACTCTGAACAGATAGAAAGAAGTGTCGCTCAATTTTCCGTAATTGATGCTGTCAATGGACGTGAAAATTGAACGTTTGTTTATTGGAACTGGCAGCCATTGGTGGGCAGCTTGAAGGCGCGAATGGTTCGATCGCTTGCAAGTTGAATGAAGACAGGAGCACATACGAATAAAAACTTTGTAGTTGTCTTCACTTTAATTACCAAACAATATAATTTCGTTCAAGGAATACTGGTGTTTTGGATTTAAAGTTGAGACACATGCATAGTATTTATCGGTTCAAAACGAAAACGTCTTCATTACAATAGGAACTTAGGGCTAAGTTCCTTGACAGATGTCTTTTGAACGTGTTAACCATCTTTCAAAAGGCAGAATGACACTACAATATGAGGTCACCATCTGTTTAGTACCATATTTGACAGGAAAAATGATGTATATGATGATGAAAACCAGAGGACTATGGTGTCATGACCCCAGTATAAGTAAGGAGGATGAACTTTGTTGGAAAAGGTGAGCAGATATAAAGTGTTTAAATTACATTTTACTTTTTCACTGCAACGGATTCAACGATACAATTCATTCATCTGTTTACAGAATTCCGGTAACGTCAGTCAACCTAGTCACAGCAATTAAACACCATCGAAATAATTTGAACAAACATTTATGTGCAGATATTTGCTTGCTATTATTTTTCACTTGATTATCCTCACCTCTTCTTACTATACTTCTCTTATTCTAATCGAGTGAAAATCGATTTATTATCATGACGAGATGGAGGCTTTACTTATCGATGATAACTGAGAAAGTAATTGGTGACATAATTGAATATAAGTCAAATAGTGCTGCTATTGTAACAGCTCCATCTACTCAGTTATTCATCTAATGTTGATTTTGTATCAAACGTCAGCAACCGTGATCATATGCATTGACATCACGTTTTTAAGTGAAATAATAGTAACCTTTTACCTTTGAATACGCTTGATCTTATGCGAAATCAGTCTCTACAGCGGTGCCTAATTTCTATTCTTGTATTTCGAATACATGAGTTGGGTTTTTGTCATTGTACCTACAGATTCAGCTGTGGCTAGGAGACTTAATCGAGTAACTTCAGGCTGACGTTTAGACTTGACTAAAGTCCTTATAAGTCATCGCCTATAATAATCTATAATGTTCGTACGTAGTTACTATTGTGTGTAGCAGCAAGTTCGCATCCTAGGGAGGCCAGTCTAGCATGCCACACCCGCACCGCAAGCAAATGAAACAGAACAATATAATAATAGATAAAGAGTTTTATTTCGCTGCAACGTCGACAAGTTTATTCACATATGTAGGCTGAGCACATTGCAAGTCGAAAGTCTTTGTTTGGGAAGTATCTCCCATTATTTGACAGGAACTGTCCAGTATTCAAATTGCATCACGTTTAAACTTTTCCGCTATTCAAACAAACGGAACTGTGTGCCCACCTCAAAAGTTATCCGACATGACAAACTAAAACAAGGAACATCTGCATAGTAATAAGTGAATGAGTGAACTTCCCTTCTCTTGTTGTTGTGTATCTATCTGGTGATAATTCGTATAACAATCGTTAGTGGATTTCGGATGTCTTCACTGTAACTATGATTGTTCATTTACATAAATTATGCATTTATATGACCAGCACGCATGATGAAATATGACTTAGGTATTCAATAAACTCAGCTTTTATAGCTGACACTTCTTTTGAAATGTGGAACTCATTACTAGTGAGAAAAATATCATGAAAATTACGCTTATGTATGTGTGCAAAACGTTGATGGCCAAATGTTACATTTATATTCACCACAGTTGTTCGCAAACCACGCATAAGAAAGCCATACAATTGAGCGCAAAACAGTACCTAACTAAGGGAAATCAAAAATTCAATTAACCACCACTGTTTTAGCCAATAGAAGATGGGAAAACCAGATGCGAAGTAAATTTAGGACGCGACAGCGTTCATCCTCTTTCATTTTGTAAGACCAATGGTGGGTAATTTTAAATAACTCTTAGGAGCATATTCATCAATGAACACCCTTAAACAGAGAAGGAGGGACTTACAGATCATGATTCACTCATGGTTCCTACTCGATTGCCCGTTTCCTTCTTATGTATCCTTTAATCACTGGCTGCCTTTCTCTTGTAGAGACACTACAGTACTTCACCAAGATCTATTCATGTTCGAGGGAATGAGGTGAGGGTTTTCATATGCGGTTCAGCAGGTCCAAAATTTGATTATACACTCAATCTACATACCACAAGGCGCTTATGGGTCTACAAGCGACTGGATATGTTGTTATTTAGAGGCATATGACCGACCTTACTCATCTAGGTGTAACCAGTACTCACTAATAAGTACTCTGCCTAAACTTTAGGTAGTGACGGCAAAACTCAAATCGAAAGGGCCAGATGTACCGTGCAAGAGCAGTATATGTGGATGGAATGACATCCAGTGCTAATTTAGGGAAAAGGTTTTTGAACTTATCGGGCTAATACGGCTAACCTAAAGAACCTAAGGATGTGAGTGTCCAACAGCACTAAGGTAAGCTCAAAATGACAGCACTGACCGCTTGGACTAGACGGAGCTCAAAATACTTTGAGCGGCTATGGGTTAGCTGTAACTTCATTTAGCCAGAAATAAGTGAATAATCAGTTATTTTATGTAGAGCTGCCTTTTGGTGCGAGAAAGGGATATCGCAGAACTCGTCACAATTCATAGCACTGTGTGTGAAGCAGAGCCAAGCCTATTCGCTTTATATCGAAATCGACAGCTTTTTGCCTGATGCATAATCTGTTGTTATTACATAATACACCCTTTACACGATGAGGCTTTATCCAAATGATTTGAAATATGTATTTTGATAACCAGAGTTCTGACATAACATTCTTAACATTTCACAAACATGATTTGTGACATACCTGTGTACCTACAATCATAACAGAGTTGTAGCTGAATAGAAATGTGTTGATTTTACTTTTTCGGGAAACAAACACTAACTTTTGTTTATATGGCTCAATAACCTTGAATTGGATTCGTACCAACTATTTTGTTCCCAAACCATCTCTTCAAAGTATGGGTATTGGTGACTATGTAAGTGCAAACTTTACTCATAGGATCAGTTGACTTTATGCAAGATTTATAACAGAATTTATATTAGTTTAGTAAAGCTTTTTACTTAATTTGATGCAGATGAAGTATTTTTTCACATACAATTAAATTATCTGACAAAGACGTGTTATATATTGATAGGAAACAAGGAGTTCGTATGCACAATTAGCTGTTCCATTATTTAATTAAATTAGAACGTATGACAACCCTTCTCGTTGGTTGTTTTAATCAGCTAAGTTATAATGCAACCATGACGAAATATGTGAGGAAATTCTTTTGACAAAATTATTCAGATGGCTAACGACATAAAGCATATTAATAGGCTCTCTGAACACGTAAAGTCGTTGGTAGACTCCAATTCACTCATTCTAATAAGAGTGGAAAGCTCGGAGATGTTCGTGGTTATGCTGGCTGTTAAGATGCATTACTGCTAATTTTCATATTTTTAAACACTAGTTTTGAATTTTCTCGAACAAGATTTCTATTAAAGTTTTTTTTACTCAGCTAAAATGTGATATGCTTGGTCTGGTTTGGGTGAATAAAAACTCTATATATATGCATATATGAATTAAAATTCATCAACATTTTTGCCGTCTCTGGAACGCTTTACCGGCGGCAGTGACCACAGCGCCATCTGTGGAGACTTTTAAGCAGAAGCTGGACAATCATGCAGAAATGCATGGTTTGTGTCTCAATGGCTTATCCTCTTAAAATTTGAAACCACATTTTCAATGGATAAGCATACAAGCTAAATCCCCACGGCCCGTCCTGTCTTCTCTCACTGTACCGACTACTCTATTCTTTTCTCTGGTCACCTTTATTATTTCACTTATCTCAACCTATATTATCTACACTACAACCTATTATTATTATTACTATTCCACTTTTATGACTACACCGAATGACCAACGGGTGTTAGGTCAAACTCCAATTCACGGCAGCAACTCAGTCCTAACATACTGCACACTACAAACCACATCTTGACCAGTCCTCGCACCACTCCTCTTGCAGTCTACCAGAGCTAAAGCAGTCGAGTGGCGGGATTTACTACGCCGAGGATCTGGAACCTCTACCTTACAATCAAGAAGCGAGCTCAAAGAAATCACTGGTTTATACTAGCTCGTAATCAGGATATTGGATATTGGATAACAATTCAATTTTTAAACGTTTCGCTGCTCCTGAGCCAATTTTCTCTGTACAAATCCGTTATAGGAGTTGAAATGATATATAGTTTGGAACTAAGATATAAAATTGATAATCTTTGGGGTTAAAATTATTGTTTCTCGAATAGTTGGACGGATGTTCACCCGTTATATATCGACTAAGTGCTGTTAAACCTGGGGATATACTGGAGTATTTTTTCCTTCTTTCTCATGACTTAAGGGTTGAGGCAGTCTGTACTTTCACGTCTTTGAGTTATCATGTGTACGGAAAACACTGCTCATGTAGTATTTGTTTGTTTTGTTAATTAAAAACATTTAAGGAACAATACTATATTCTGTCTTTCTCAAAAAATTTGAACTTTTTAGTCTTATTCGAATTGGTTGAATTCAAAGTGGTTTGACTACTAATTAAGGTTGGCTAGACAGGAATTTAAGTCCGATGAGAATTTCATGTTTTTTCTGCATTATTCCTAATTCATTTGGCACTGGAAACTCCTAACTCCATAGTCTTTCTCGCTACTGACTTCACAAAAGTCTATTTCTTTCTTTTATGCTCACTTCTTGAAATTGCTGCCACTTGAACTGATTCACTTTTGTGCTGAGTTCTGTGTTCTTAAGTCAGTCAGTTTACACTAACTGTGGGTGTATTTTTATCGCCATTATACAAACAGCAGTAAATAATCACTTTCTGATGCTTATAATAGCATTACAGTCCTCAGATATGGATTTCGTGTTGAATTCAGTAACAACAAATTTGGCTAAGAATTCATTAAGGTTATCGAATTATCAGGAGGTAGTTCTTCATAATTATCCTTCAGAAACCTAATGTACTCGTAGAAGAGATTTCAAACACATTTACCAATTGTTATTCAATTCAAAATAATAGGGAATTCGTTTCGCTAGATTTTTGAGTAAATTGTGTTTTTCACTTCGTGAAGTGGCGTTTAAAACTAGTAAATGTTTTTTTGCTTAAAAGTATCAAAGGCTAATTAGATCAGTCTACAGACTACTAGTTTCTACATGAATCAGATTGAATTTTACAATTCTATCTGTAAAACCAGTGTTCCTACTTGCCCGGGACCGCAAGCTTAAAACATGTGTACTATACGAAAATATTTTTCAATAAATCAATAAGAACTGTTTATTCGTTTTACACATTAAGTTGCTGGATAAAACTAAGTTATCTATTTTTCACATGAAGTATTTCAAGGTAATAATCTTAAATATTCTAATATGCATGCTATGGAGTCAAAATAACTAGCATTAACATCATGGAATATTCTGGTGTTAAAATCTCACAATGTTGTTCGTGAATAGCACCATGTATGGAAGCACTAGCCTAGTGGATATGCTGAAAATAATTTGCGTCGAGTGGCATCTTTATCATACTCCGTAGAATTATAGGAAGCAGTTGCAGAGTAAATACAACATAAAATTGATTGAGTTACATAAGAATCAATTATTTTTAGTTTTAGCTGACAAATAGTACACAAATGATGCTAGTTATCAGATGAAGTTTGAAAAACTCAACTTTTTTCTATTAACGTACTAGTTGTTTGATATGTGAGGTAATTGCGTAAGTAATGCGAATTAAGTCGCTTTGGTCTTTTCAATCTACCTTTTCTATGTAAGCAAACCAAAGTTAGCAATCATTAAGTCTTGCATGACCAATTACTCCTTTATTCCTCGTATTAGACAGAAATCCGTAGCACATTGCTTTAACAAGTGGTTTGCAAGTTTGAGTAACAATTTTTAGAGTATGAGGGGATTTCACTAACTTCTGACCAGTAGATTTAGCTCACACTGTGATTTACAATCCTAAGTGTTATCGATTAGCAAGGTTATTCTTGTTCCATTGTACTACTCTTGCTGCTACTAATACTTTGAATCCAGATGCTTTTATTTGATGGCTCTTCCATGATACCAAACTGCCTCTTTTCTTTAGAAGCAGTGTTGGTCACAGCTAAATTGCTATGTCGCTTACTTGTCTGGAGTCTCAAAAGTACCGAAAACATTGGTTAGAGGTGTTAGATGATACAGTTCATAATTACTCATACTCATGAAAATATTTCTCCTGTCATCTTTTTGGAGTATTGGGCGTTGTCATTGATCTTCATTTGACTATCTTCGGTGCTCATACAACTGCTTGTTGATCGTAGTAACACAATTTGTCCCATTTATTTTAGTGCTCTTTCAGAGGGTAACGTATTCCAGTGATACACTTTTATGGAAGGTTCTTCGTTGACTGGTGGGTTAGTCTGAAAAATTTCATGTTTTCAACGTATCTCTTGTTTCAGTTCAATAGTACACAATCATAACCTCATACGTAATCTTTAGTAGTGTTCTGATTCATTTATAGATAAAGAAATCGATTTTTAAACTCAGTATGTGTTCATTACGATGACTAAAACGTGTGCACGTTTTGTTTTGCAGTTAAAAGGAATATACCATAAAGTTTCTGGTAAAAAGAAACCCGAGAAAGATGAAAAGCAAAGTGGCTTGGATGATCTCAAACAGGAGCTGGATATGGATGAGCACAAAATATCTCTTGAGGAGTTGTATTCTCGATTATCTACCGATCCTGAAAATGGTCTGAAAAGTGAAGATGCCAAGTTAGCTTTCAATATTTTCGGAAGAAATACCTATCATTCTATTATTATTTTAGGGTTCGATTAGAGCGTGATGGACCAAATGCATTAACACCACCAAAACAAACTCCAGAATGGGTAAAATTCTGCAAAACACTCTTTGGTGGATTTTCAATGCTTCTATGGATCGGTGCTATTCTTTGCTTTATCGCGTATGGAATTCAAAGAAGTTCGGGTGATGACGATACAAAGGATAATGTGAGTTGCTGTATTTAACTACTTTGTTTGTATGTAAACTGAACAGTTGATCAGATCATCAAGGACTAATAAATCAACTATTATTAGGGATTATATTAAAACGTTAGTGAAATTTAGTGAAACCAAATGTACAAGGGAGTTTAGGTACACTTTTAATTTCGTAAGTTTTAGGCACACAAGAGTTTATGATCAAACATGACCTTTGAAAGTTTTTATGTCTGAGTTTATCCTGCTATGGTTGTGTGTTGTTTTTTTAGAAATGGAATTCAAGAGGGTTGTTTCTACTCTGTTCTGTTAGATATTCAAAAGGATCCATTGTACAGAAAGTAGTCAATCAGTTTTAACAAAAAATTAACAGACTGAATGCAGAAGATACTTACAGTTAAATTATTTCACTTTACAACCACTAACCGAAATAAATTTCTACAGAGATCTATTGATGATGGAAAATCATCAAAAGTAACCTCAAACTTTATTAGAGATTGAACAGCTTGTTAACGTATATGTGAGAGATACTACATCTGAGGTGTTTAGACTGTATACTGGAATATTTGATGGATGTTGAATTGTATGAAAGAGAACTACAGGAATGGAAGTTAAAAACGAAAAGAGGTATTAGGTTTAATGTGTGGAGGTTGCCTCATTTACTTAAAAAATATAAACTAGTAAAGTGAAATAGTTGCGAAGTCAGATAAGTACACATACTGTTGAAGAAACATTGCGTAGAATACTAGTGCAACTACAGCGCTACTAACAAATTTTATGTTTTCGAAAACAAATATTGGATAGAGTCACAAATTGTTGAGCACTCAATCATACATAGGTTAGGTAATTGTATTCGCCTGTTACAGTATTCATGAAATCAATGGGTCAGTTTGATATTGTTAGAAGGAAAAAAATATTCCCAGAAGATAAAATGTTAAACAGCGGAGCTGTTTATTTTTCCTTTTTCTCATCTACCTTTTTAATTAAGAAATTATTTTGAAATAATTGTCTTATTTCACATCTGATTGTAATTGGTCAACAACACTCATATTATTACCACCAGTCAAATCAAAAGAGGATAATAAATAATCTCAAAATTCTATTTCAATTCAAGCAAATCACAAAATTCCAACAAATTACTTATTATAACTATAAGAACATTCGTCTTATTTCCCATCTAATTGTATTTGATCAATAACACTCATTTTGATTTTTATTCAAATATCTAGTCAATTCCATACATATATATAAATGAAGGAAAAAGTTGTGTGAGTAACTTGATATGATTATGAGCAATAATTTGTGCTCGAAACGTCATCAGTTAATATTACTGTGTAACACTGTGTGATTTATGAATATAAAATCTTATCCATAATGGAGTTACACTCTATCACAGTGCCCAAGTTTTATACTTATATCAATAATTGTCAATTCACTGCAGAGTATAGCTGCTATTCATGAAGGCGTTGGACATGCACTCTGATCTTAATATAATGGTAGTTTATTTATGTACTGGGAAATATGGTTCTCGGCCTAGCCTACACATCAAATACTATTCACAAAAGCTTGGAAAGTTAATTTTTGAAAAAGACTTCTAGCTTCATGCTCATTTAAGGAGTTTCTTTCAATCATGTTGTGTTTATAATTTCTGGTGCTTATTTGAAATGACGGGTATCAATGAGTACTCACTTTATAATGAGGTACCACATGAGAATGTTAATTCAATGTCTACTTTCTATCTGCTAAATCCATGAATATAAAAAAGTACAAAGCTTTCTTCTCTTATAAGTGAGATTGTTCCGTGTGCTAACAATGAAGCTAATATTTCCAGGACTATTCATTTATTTATTTACTTTTTTCATGCTTCGAAGATTCTGTAGCGATTAGGTTGGGTAGGTAGCCCGACTTCCAACTTCCCTTTTGTTCCCTGAAGAGAGATTTTTCTACTTCCAGTATGCAGACGATATCGTCTTACTGTGCGATAGCATGCAGGTTGCTCAAATCGCTCTTGACCAGTTGGCGATCAGTGTCTGTAAGTATGGTATGGGCTTTGCGCTGTCTAAATGTAAAGAATCGTTAGAAGATTGGCAGGAACCTGTACCTGCACTCACTCTTGCAGGTGAACCGCTTGAAGTTGTCGATAAGTTTGTGTATCTGGGTAGTTGTGTGAGTGCTGGTGGAGGGGTGACGGATGAGATTTCCAACCGTATCATGAAAGCTACGCTGGCATACGTTAACTTGAGCCACCTCTGGCGCCGTCGCAACGTTAGCCTATCTATCAAAGGTCAAGTATACAGTGCTTCGGTGCCGGCTGTATTGCTTTATGCCTGTGAAACCTGGCCTCCGAGCTGAGGATGTGCGGTGACTCTGCATGTTCGATCATCGCTGTCTCCGCAGGATTGCTTGCGTTCGATGGCATCATCGCGTGATTAATTCTGAGGTCCGGCGGTGTGTGTTTGGACACAGTGGAGATCACTATTCGTCGAATGTTGTCATCTGAAAACACCCGCTTCGGTGGCTGGGACATGTGCTGCGAATGTCATCCTAGAGGCTTCCGTACAGGTCTCTGTTCGCTAGACCTGGGACGAGAGGGAAAAGGCGGAGAGGTGGTCAGTCCATGACGTGGTGTCGTGGGATGAAGGATATTCGTGCTAGATTAGCATCGGTTGGTGTGTCACGACTCCCTGGTTGGATTCCGAAAGATAGCTTGAGTCGGTGGCTCGAAACGTTATCGGATATGCCCAAAAATCATAATCAATGGCGAACGTACTGCAATTTCCTTCTTTCTTCCCTTTCCGACGATAATTGACGAATGCTGTTAGTACTTGTTAAATATGACTGTTTTCCTTCCAGATGAAGTTCTTTATCCGTTCTCTACTCATGTTTTTACTTTTAATCTGTATTATTTTATTATTATTGTGTGGCATATCTTCTTGGTGCCATATTGTACCAAGTTTTCTGTATTTAAATATTAAATAATAATAATTTGTTCGCAAGATTGGAACCTCCTGCTAAACTAGTGAACCTGTGATCTAGACGAGGTCACACTAATTCAGAGGTTTACAGGTAAAAATCAAAAAGTTGGAAGAAGAGGTTGACAGCAAAGACAGGACTTCAAATGAACACTGAGAAGACAGAGATTATGAAGTTACCCACTGATAACTACCAGCTGGAGAAATTTAAAAGTCAGGCTTGCTGCCTGTGGTCGAAACGATGATGAAGGTGTCAAATCAATGAAGACCGGAATAGCAAAACATACCTTCACTAGTCTAAAATCAATATGGAGGTCCTTTGCACTCAGCATAAAAAACAAAATTTCGATTTTCAACAATAATATCAAGTCAGTTGGTGCTTCTATATGGTTTAGACATTTGGCTTGCAAGTCATGAAAAGCACCTCGAATAGCATGCTGCAAACTTTTATCAACAGTTGACTTCGCTCCACATAAAATATCACTTAGCCGGTCGGAAAGGATTGGCAACAGGGGACTGACAAGCGACGAACCAACCAAGAGGTTATATCCTCACAAACATGCCAAAAAAGATGGAAATGAATCAGACACTGCGCTCCATGAAAGCCCTCAAATGGAACTGGGATGGGAAATGACAAGTTGGGTCTGGGTTCGAGATTGAAGAGGAGGTGAGAACTCGTGCACAAAAGTGGAGCCAACTAAAGACAACTGTAGAGAACAGAATGAAATGGAGATGTGCCGTTTAAGTCATATATTTCACCCGAAACCTAACGGAATAATACTAATAAGTTACTTATACTTTTTCATTATCTTGTCCATTGGGATAGATTCTCCTTCTTGACTTTTAATATATGCTGTCAATTAAAACCATTACAGCTTTTTGACTTGAGAGAATATTATGCTTTTTGAGAAAATTTGCTTTTGCACACTTGTGCACTTAATAGATGGATTGCACTGTGAAACAGTATGGCATACTAGCTATATAAGTGCGTAATGTTGTTTTCATTGTTTGATTTATCTAATAAACACACTGACATTAAAAAAAATCTTACAGTCATACAGTTTTAATATATTTGTGTGTAAATTTCTTTGACATGATCAGAAAGTGTATAATTTATGATAATTACGTCGAAATTGTTCATGTATATATATATATATATATATATATATATATAATCAGGAAACAGAGACAACTACAGAACAGCATATTTCCTAATAATGGATATAACCAACTGAAAAACAATGTCCACCATCAGTGCTCAGAGAAAACAACACCAAATATAATTTATTAACGTTAACTTGTCATTTCGAAATTCCGGATTGATCCAGCGTATTATGAACAATTTCGACGTAATTATCATAAATTATACACTTTCTGATCATGTCAAAGAAATTTTCACACAAATATATTAAAACTGTATGACTGTTTGACCGCAGATTGATTTCACTTTCGGAACCTTTGAAAAACAGGGAGGACTAGACACTTAGTGACTGGTTACAGGACGAAGTAGCCAGCAGTTCTAGTAAGAAGTCGTGATCAGTAGGGTCCACCAGATCGCGCATGAGGACTGTAACTCGTCGGTGGTCACGCTAAAGTGGCGAACTGACAGAATCTTGAACTGATGGACGAATGGATTCCTTCCTATTATCTGAATGGTATACTAGCTCACCTGTAAGTCCTGGGTTCGTGGGTGTGTACTGTGAAGAGACTCGGGCAGGGATGAAACAGTTATGCAGTACTCCTAGATGGTTTACAATGTTTCTCCAACTAACATCAATCCATGGCCAAACTCGAAGCAAATCACATTCCAACAAAGTAATTCCTGAATATATATATATATATATATATATATATATATATATATATATATATATGTATAATTCTACTACCACAACGACAAATAGGAGAAAACAAAGAAAACTATAAAACTGAAGTTTCAAAGTCGTGTGATTACAATTGATATGATTATGAACAATAAATTTTGTTCGAAACGTCATCCAGTAATTAATACTGTTTCACTGCGTGACATATCTAATAAACAAA